ACGGAGTGTGGCTTGGAATTTCACGATCAACAGGGCTGGTATGCACATGAGGTTCAGTACCGAGGGTAGTCATGGCCATAGATCACTTGCACAGCTCCTCACGGTCACCAATCAATGCCCCTGGTGTATGAGCACACACCCGACGGTTGCGATTTCGCGTCAGCACGTCCGCCGTCTTTTCTTGAAACGAAGTTGCCAATGCGATCGAAGTCCGATTCATCGCGAGATAATGCTGCCCCCTACGTTCGAGTGCCCTGCGTGCAGTAATGACCATCCGTCACTTGAGGCTCTTCAGCGGCACATTCGCACGCACGTCGATTTGTCCGACGCCACCTTCTCCTTTGCTGCGCCCCATGTCGTGGATGCGGCAGACCGGCCAGGCGGATCTGGAGCAGGCGAAGAAGCGATTGGGCGATTCTCAGATGAGCTCGCTCAGCGCTGGAGGCAGCGGCAAGCCGCGCGCGCCCAAGGTTCGGCGTCAACACTCGCCTGCAGCAGCGGGAGATGGCGACCTGGCCATGGACGACAGCGACGCGGACGGGGAGACGGCTTCCGAGATGATGAAGGGAGTTCTCAACGCCGCCCAGAGGCAGCGGGCCATCGAAGGCTGCCTCTTCAGCACACACCTACTGCCGAAGGAACACGGCGTGAACTACGCTGCGATCGGGGCCGTTCAGAAGTACGCAGACACGGTGAAGGACAAGCCCTCGGATCACGGCCTCGGTCCTCCCAGCTTGCAGGTGAGCATCGCGGTCCTCGAATCGTTGGTCGCCCAAGAGCAGCTGAATAAGAGCCCGCTCCTCCAGGGCCATCTGAAGTCCGTGGCGGCACTCATTCAACAAATCATGAAACAGCCGATGCCCATCGCCTGCGAGACGCTGCGCTACTGGAAAGTGAAGACCGCGTTCGTGAAGGGAGGAGCGCCCCCTCTCGTCCGCCACGCGTTCTTCGTGAACTCGTGGATCCATGTAGCGGGAGGAGTGATGATTTCCATGAGTTCGATTTTGACGGCCCTTTTTCTCGCCCTCGGGAGCACGCCGAAGCTGCCCCCCCCCCCCCCCCCCCCCCCCGAAAACCACCCAGGAGCGCCGAGTTCAGAACTCCCTGGAGAAAATGCTCCGAGGGGCCCGCCACAAGAAGGCGTAGGAGCTCGGCGGGCCCTTGGCTCGATCTCTGAGCGTGGACGGGTTCAGTTTCGGGGAGGGCGGGGCCCGCTGGCGCGCCCGGAAGGCCGAGGTCGAGGCAGAGGTTGCGGGAAGGGGTCTTCTCAAGGCAAGCAGATCGTTCGAACGCAGCCTAACTGTTTCAGGGGTGTGAACCTACTGCCCATGAAGTTTTCCTGACCTCACTTGATTTGGCTTTCTGGCCTGGCTGGCCGCTCCCCCCCTCTTTTCCTCCGCTGCTGCCGCTCTCGGCTGCCGCCGCTGTTCCGCTTGTCTCCTCTGCGTCCTCGAGATGTAGTCTGTGTATGCACGTGCAGGCCTCTCGACCCTGTGCTGCAATCAGGGAGCCCCCAAGCTGATTGCTGGGCGAGGGGCCCCCCTAGAGTTTGACATCGGCGGGGGCATAGTGCCTCCCGAACGCCCTGCGGCCAGCGTCGCCCCCCGAACGGCGTGACTTGGCCATGCGCAGATAGCGAGCGAGCGAGCAACCAGGGCAGCGCCTTCCCTCGCTTGCGTTCTGGACAACTTGATGTCGGAGCGAATGACGGAGCACCCGGCGTCGTAGATTGCCTCCTCGCCGTTAATTTGGTTGCCGTCGGTGATGGCGACGCGGTCTTTTCCCGCGGGCCGCCCGCGCATCTGGCGGCGCGCCTGCGGGCGTCTAGCTCTTGCGCTGAAAAAGGTTCTGGAGGGGGGCGGAAAAGCTGGCGGGCGAGATCGGCCTCTCTCGTTTCTTGTATAGGGTGAGAACAGCACATCATTTGGAACGCCAGATCGGCATGGCGCGGGCAGCGCTGGTACAGCGTGCCAGTGGAAGGATTTGCAACCCTCCTTTTCAGGATGGACATCAAACGTATATTAACCTGGCTTTATATTGTTCTGGGAGTATTGACCAGGGTTCAGAATGTCTCGCCCGGAACATTATGAACCTGGGTTTATATGTTCTGGCAATATTGACAGGGGTTCAGAATGTCCCCCCCGGAACATCATAAACCCTGGTTCGTAATGTTCTGGGGATGTCGACCCCGAAAACATAGTAACTTGGGTTCATCATGGTCCGGGAATATTGATTACGCTTTACAGCGCCCCGAGCATAATGAACTCGGTTTTCGTCATCCTGGAATGATCGTAATTATTATTTGGCCCCCCCCCGGTTTTTCACCAGGTTTTTCATGTCGGAATATTGACCCCAGTTCATTATCCCCAGGAGATAATACACCCGGATTATTAATGTTCCCGGATTATTGACCTCGGGTTCATTATTCTGGAATGATAATGATTGAGCCTGGGAGGCGCCGTTGCGGGGTACGTTCCGGCCTGAAATAAACCTTGGTACCTTGGTTCATAATGTTGGAACATTACATTTAGGTTGATTATTCCGGAGAGATAATGATTCGGCTTAGGGGGGGCTGATACCGATCCATTCACAGAGCAATAATCCATAGGTGTCGTCACTAAATAACGAACCTCGGTTCTCATTCCTAGATAATAAACCACGGTCAACGAGGATTTCGCGCCCACCCTCCTCCTTTTGCACCCGCCCCTTTCGTTGTCGTCCTCCTCCCTCTTCGCCGTCTCCCTGCTGCTGCCGCGTTGTTTCTCCCCACATTCCGTCCTTACCCTGCTGGTCATTCTTGCCGTTGCCCCGTTCCTGTTCGTTCTTGGGGCCCCCCTCCTCGTCCTTGACCGCTGTCCTGCGAGTCGTGCGCCGCGTGCGCACCATATGTAGCTCGCGCAACACATGGCGATTCCCGCGTCTGCGGTGTCCATGGACACGTGGGCCAACCCAGCTTTTCGTGTCACTTCGAGCACAGGGGTCTGGGTACGTCGCGGGATATTTGCAGATTGTTTCATAATTTGTTGTGCGTTTTCATGGGTCCGTCGACAAATCTTGCGCGAGTGCGCTTTGTTCGCGACGTTGCGAGGTATGATCGGCCTTGTCTGCGAGTACTGCGCCAGTTCCACAACGCATGGTGGCCTTTGGTTAATCCCGCAACGTTGTCACTTCGCGTTCCCCGGTTCCTTTGGCCATCTCGGGGGCCCCGGGGGCCGTCATGGGGCGATGTTTGGGGCCCGTTGGGCCGTCTGTGGGCGCCCTTTCATCCGAAGCAACGACTTTGCCCAAACCAATGATTTTGGTCTTTTGGGCTGGGCCCCATTGTTTCCACAACGATTCAGGATGCGCTCGCGGGGGCTCCATGCGATATCCTGATATGTTAGCCAATGTTGGAAGGATGGCGTCCCAATGGCGATCTCGTCGCAATTCCAACAACCCCGCGAGCCGCAGTGCCAACGCTGCGATGCGGATGCGTGAAAATATTCATCCACTGTCAGTACAGATCAGTTCCGAGATTTGGGGGGCTTCAAGCAGCGCCGAAGTAACGGATCTGAAGAGGATGCTGTTGCGCAGGCGGCGGTCGAAACGGAGGCATAGGCGAATGGTGACCATTATGCGAGGGATGGCGGGTGCGGGGAGGAGAGGGGGACTAACCGGATAATGTGAGGGAGGAACATGATGGGGAATGGCAGGAAGGGGAGTAGTGAAGCAGCCAGAGGAGCAGTGCGTGATGAGCAGGAGAATGACGATGGGTGCCTTCTGCGGTATTTGAAGAGGATGTCGATCAACGAAGGCGGCGGACTCATTGACGCCCCGTCCGTCGGAGTATTGACACTCGCATCTGTGGAAATGCTAGATCTCCAAACGTTGACGTTGCTTGCGCTCACCTGTTCTTACTCCGCTTCTCAAGAACTCGGCAGGGTCTGGAGGGTTTTCGCCCTCGTCGGCGCCCATGGGCGCCTCTTGGGCTCCCGTGCGGCGGCTGGGTCTGTGGAGAGGTCGTTCCCGTCGCCGTCCGTGGGCGCCTCGGAGCGTCCCGTGCGCCGACTAGGTCTGCAGAGGTTCGGTCACATAGCTTGCACGGCGTGGCTCTCATGACGATCATTGCACCACGTAGCACGCACCACATATATTACATCGCATACAGATCACCGCAACCGTAGCACCACACATGTTGGAATCCTCAGCTTGCGTCAGATAGCTTGCACCAACTAATTGCACCACATAGGTTGCATCACGCAGCTTGCATCACCCGTAGTGCACCATGTAGCTTGCACCCCACATATTGCACCACATATGTTGCAGCACACGCGCTGCACCACATGACTTGCACGACACACTTCGCACCTCAATGACTGCACCACATGTATTGCACCGCATTGCTTCCACGTAGCTTGCAGCACGTAGGTTGCAGCACATTGTTTGCGCACATGGGTTGCACTTATGTTTTGCACCACGCAGCTTGCAACACATGCAATCTACGTGGATTGCACCACTGTGCTTTGACCACGTAGCTCATACCACATATCTTGTACCGCATATATTCAGTCCACATATTGCACCACATAGTTTGCACCGCGCACCATACTCATGCGAAGCACAGCAACGCACGGTTTGGCATCCACGCTGGCAAGACTGCCGCATCATGGTCTTCAGAAATTTCCCTTCCGGGGACAGGCTCCGAGGCAATTTTGAGTCCTCTTGTGGCGGCTTGAGGTCTCTTGGGGCCATCTAGGGATCTAGGGCCATCTGGCGCGCTCTACATATCCGCGTCTCCTCTGTGCAGACCCATGGGGAGTGGGGTAGGGGTAAGAGCCTTCCCGACTGGGAAGAAGTGGGATGGAAGAACGAGCTCGTTCAGACACCTACGCCCAGAGGGCTGGGGGGATTCCTTGTGGTTGTGCCTGGCATCTCAGAGGAGGGGAGACGATTGTAAAGTCTCCCGCGGAAGGGGGAGGAGGACGATGAGTAGGAGAGCCCGCGGACGGCCTTGGCACCAGGCGGCGGCGGCCCCCTCGTGTCCGCGCTCGCGCGCATGGACCCGGGCGGCCACGCGGCCGTTGCAGCACGGCGGCTTGGGGGCCTTGACCCAGGGGAAGGGGGATGATGAGGGAGGAGGAGGAGGTGGAGGAGGAGGTGAAGGAGGAGGAGGAGGAGGAGGAGCAGGAGGCGGGCAAGGACAAGCACAGGGACAAGTACAAGGACAAGGCCGTTGGGGGTCGTAGTCTGTGCCGAGGCCACTTGTGAGACCCCTACGAAAGCATGGATGCAAGCTTCGGAACTTTGTGCCTCTGGGGCTACCTGCGGCGATCGCTCCTCAGGCTCGTCGTGAGGGGGGCGCTGCCCCATCAGCAGGGTAGCCCTGCCGCTCGAAGTGCGCATCGTGCAGCAGGAGGCACCCACTGCCGTGCCTCCCGGCGCACGGGTACCTCTGAGGATTTTCCCGTCCCCTCCCCATTCACCACCCTCCCCCCGCCGATAGTAACAAGACAAGGCGGGCAGCGTGAGACCCGCATGATGCTCGAATGGTTTGGCTGTGGAGAGGTGAGCTCAGAAAAAAAATGGCCCTATGGATGACGCGCCGCACTGGCTGGGTCTGGGACAGCTGGGTCTCGTCTCGTGGAGCACCCTCCACTCACCTCACACGCAAGAAAGACAGGAACGGGGACGATCAGAGCAACTGTTGGGACCTCTGGGGGGCCTCCTCGACCTGAGCGTGGCACTGCGTAAAGGCGGCAACCTACGAACTCACTCGAGCTTGCTCTCGGGCCCGACGCTGGGCTCGTGCTCGATCACCTCGTAGACCTGCGCCTCGCCCTCGCTGTCCCCGTCGCTGTGGATCGTCCATCCGAGCGGGGTCCATGTGGCTGGGTCGTTGACGTGGAAGGCGTTCCGCTGCGTCGGTGGAGCCCATTTCGTCGGATCCTTGCTCCTCCAGCCGTACTGGCGCCAGGCCGTCTCGTTGTTGGCGTCTCAGGGTAGGGAGTCTCCATGCGCAACCAGCGGGACGTCGTCGTCGGGCTTCGTGCGCTGCTCCTTCCAGTCTGTGCGGGTGGCCGTCGTCTTGGCTTGCTCGTCGAGCTGGGTGGTGAGCTGCACGAGCGGCGTGAGCGTGTCGCACTTCACCCGAGTCTCATCCTCGTGTATCTGCTTCCCGATTTTGGTGTTGTTGGGGTACCCCTTCCAAAGTAGGCCCTTGACCTTCAGCAGCTCGATGGTGACCATGTCGATGCGCGTGTCTTGGTACTGGAGCGTCATCAGGTTGTCGGTGCGCTGCTCCTCCGTGCTGCCTGGGCTGATCAGCTTGTGCTCTGTGTTGGCGATGGCATTGGTGACCTTCGGCTTCTGCTGCTGCATGCCGTGCAGTGCCTCGTTCAACTTCGTCCCTTGCGCCTCCACCACGCTTGCGAAACTCTCCATCGTGATCTGCGCGAGCTCCTTCTTCTGCTCTCCGCTGCCTGTCGATGGTCCCATGGTGCTCGGCCGACTGCTCAAGGTGCCGCTCCCGTGCCAGTACCTGTCCTGGGAGGTCGAAGCTCGCAGCTGTAAGCACTCCTGTGGCTGAGATACACGGCTACGGACAGGGCATGCCGTGGTAGTTGAGGCGTTGCCTTAGCAGTCGTTCCCTTAGTGGGCTTGCTATCGGACCTCCTATTCCTGGCTTGCGGCAACTCGGTGGTAGGTGAGCAGGAGAGAGAACCATGGTGGGATCACAATCGGAGGAGAAGGAGGAGGAGCAGGAGGAGGAGACCTGCAGAGAGCGGCAGAGAATGGCAGAGAGCGTCACGGCGCGGCACAGAAAGGTAATGAGCGGCGGAGAGTGACGTATAACATCATGGATCCACAGAGAACCATTGTGAGCATCAGAGTGCAGCAGGGAGCAGCAGAGCGTCAGCGAGCGCAGGGAACGGCCGAATGCGGCAGAGAGCTGCAAATAACGCCAGCGAGTGGCATAGAGCAGCAGAGAGCAGCAAATAGCGGTAGAGAGCGGGAGAGAGTTGCATATGGCAGCAGAGAGCGACAGACGGCAGCAGAGAAAGGCAGAGAGCGACAAAGAGCAGCAGAGGATGGCAGAGTGTGGTTGAAAGCGAAGACCCATGTGCAGCGATCTGCCGCTCTCTGCCATATTCAGACATTTAGAACGGGAAGTGTAGGAATCGAGATACCCGTATGGTGATCTCCGTGTCGAGTAATTGAGCAACAGTTGTTTTTGAACGTGCATCTCTTGAAATGTTGAAGCAGTGGTCTTGCAAGTATTTCGAGATGCGCGCGCGTGTGGCCTGCACGGTATTACGTAGTTGATGGAGTTGGCGCGCACCCTCCCGCTTGACAGAGTAGCATCGCACTCGCTTGCTTCTTCTCATGATGTTACTGCTTGTGCGCGCACGTGTGGTGTCTCCTGCAGACCTGTGTGAAGAGCAGTCCGTCTGACGACACTGTCAGGAGCCGATTCGCTGCCGGTGCGTGTTGACGTGCGCGCGCCAGGGACGTGCGCGTGTGGCCCGCACGGTGTTCTTCGACCTCGACCCGCCGAGAGTGCAGGTGTGAGCTCCAGACGAGTGCTCCGCACAGCCGTAGCCTGACAGGGATGAGGGGGGGGGTCGCAGAGGGCCCCGGCCGAGAGGGCACCGTGTGGCATTTGCGATCGGCGATCGTGCAGGGAAGTACGACAGGGCAACTGCGCGGAGGGGGCCCGTGAAGTCTGGCCTCGGCATGGGGGTCGAGTCTCGCGCTCTCGCGAGGACTGCACAGCGCGCGCACCGTATCTGGTGGAAGCTCTCTGCCTCCTCCTCCTCCTCCTCCTCTTCCTCCTCCTCCTCCTCCTCCTCCTCCTCCTCCCAAGTTGCGCAACGCAGCTCACGGGGTGCCGTGGAGACGCCGGCCAGCTCACGAGGCGGCCAGAAGACGTCCATCGGGCGCCCCCCGTGCGGAGGAGCAGACACGCGGGCCAGTGCGCGAGGCGGCCACGACGCGACCACGGGGCGAACGTCCAGAAGCCCAGCCAGCGCACGCGGGGAACTCGGTATGGCCGCAGGTAATCCAGCGAGTTGTCTCAAAGCCAAGCAAGTGTCGGACGGGGCTGGGACGAGGGCAAGTACGGTCCAGAGTGTTCCTAGACGCTCTCAGAGCGCTCCGGAACGCTCTGAGAAGGCCGCGGCGCACGGGACATCTTCCAGAGCCGCCGGATCTCAGATATTCTCGGATTATCCTCACTCGATGTTATCCTCGCTTTGGTTTCGTCTCAGAATGTTTCAAAGCCAAGCGAGTGCCCCTCTTCTGCAGGTGGGAACGCTGGCGCGGCCCGTTCGTCCCGGAGGCGCTGGCGCAGTGGGCTGCGCTCATCGCGGCCGCGGCGCCGCCTCAGGAGGCCCCAGGGCCGAGCCGAGCTGTCGGCGGCCGCGCGGACGCTCGATGGAACGAAGACGCGAATTTGGGAAAGCGCCGCCACCGCCAGGAATTCATAGGCCCATGCACAGTTTGGCAGGGCTCGTTTCGATTCCTTCAATTCGGTTCGAATTCCATGGCTTCCGATTCCGATCCGATTCGACTTCAGATTTTGATTTGGATTTCGAATTTTCTGGTATGCCGATTTCCCTCCGATTCGACTTCTCCCAACTTGGCTGCCGATGTCCGTCGATCCGAATTTTTCAATCGCTTCGCTCACTCTGCCGGCCCGTATTGCATGATCGCTACTGCTTCGGCGCGGGCTCGGGGCCATTTCGGCGCCGCCGGAAGGAGGAAGCTGAGGATGGGGAGGGGGAGGGGAGGAGGAGAAGAGGGTGAGAAGGAACGGAGGAGGATGAAGATAATATGAGGAGGAGGAGGAAGAGAAAAGGGCGGAGGAGGAAGTCTCTCGATGGCATCTTGCGGCGCTCTTGGGGCCAAACAGGGCCGTCGTCCAGATGCTTCTTTGGGAGGCCCTGGGGTCTGTTGAGAGGCCGTTCGGGGGCGCCTGGGAGACATTTTGAAGCCTTGTAGGGCGTTTCAGGGGTCTCTTGGGGCCTCTTGGCGGCAGCTTGGGCCATCTTGGGGGCCTCTCGGGGCCTCCTGGGGCCCTCTTGGGGCGGAAGGCTTGAGGTTTCGGTTCGTGGTCCCCATCTTGGGCTCCTCTTGGGGCCGTCTTGGGGCTCTCTTGGGCCGTCTTGGGCGTCTCTTGGGCCGTCTCGGGGCCCGTTTGGGCTCTCTGGGGGCCGGCCACTTTCCCGCACCTGAGCGTCGCTGGACGCCGCTCCGCTTTTGCGAGGTCCGAGGTCCATGAAATGGCCCTTCCTTCCTGGGGATATCGTCAGCTAGCTGCGGGTGACCCCGCCAACCCCCCCCGAAGGGAGGTGGATTGCAACTGGCGGAAAGGGGTAGGGTGGGTGGGTGTCAAAAACTCCCCCATTGAGGCCCCCCGTGGTTAGGGAATGCACCCCCTCGAGTTGCAGTTGTGCCATCGGCTGCGCGGGGACGGCGAACGCCCTGACCGCGGAGCTGCCACGGCGCCTGCGCCACAAAACACGTGTACGGATCCAGCTGGCGATCGAAGAGGACAAGGATAGGATGTTGCGTGCGCCCAACCCCGAAGCCGCGTTCCCAAAAGCAAGCCCCCTTCCCAGCCGTCCCCTTGCAGAGGTGGAGGGAGAAGGTAGAGGACGAGGCGGAATGGGGAGGAGAGGAGGAATGCAGGGAAGGTGTATGTTTTCCTGGGGTCGGCAAACCATGCCGCAAAGGGAGCGCCAGGGGAATTGCAGGCCTGTGAGGGCACAGCGGGTGAGGGGACAGTGGGACAGTGGTGGGGACAGTGGGACAGTGGTGGGGACGGTAGTGGTGGGACAATGGTGAGGACAATGGTGGGAACATTGGGGACAGTGGGGCAGTGGTGGGGACGGTGGTGGTGGGGACAGTGGTGTGGGGGCATTGGGAACGTGGTGGAAACAGTAGGACAGTGGAGGGTACAGTGGTGGTAGGGACACTGGCGAAGGCGGTGGCGAGGACGGCGGTGGGACGATGGGACAGAGGTACAGTGGGGACAGTGGTGGGGACAGTGGGGACAGTGGTGGGAACAGCGGGACAGCTCAGTGGGACAGCGGAGGAGTCAGTGGGACAGTGGGGACAGTGGGGATAGTCGGGCAGTGGTTGAAGCCGTGGAGAAAGTTGGGGGAGTGGAGCCGTGGTGGGAACAGTGTTGGGGACAGTGGGGACAAGGCGACAGCGGTGGTGGCACTGGTGGGGACAGTAGGGGCGGTGGTGGAACCAGTGGGGACAGTGGTGGTGAGGACAGTGGTGCTGGGAACAACAGTGGGGGATGTGGTGAGGACGGTGGTAGGGACCGGGAGTCGTTTGCTGGCGGTGAGAGGGGGGGGTGGCGAGGGGTGCGAACCGGTAGTGACCCCTCCCCTCCAGTTTTCGAGAGGGGGGGAGGGGGTTCGAACCGGTAGTGATCCCCCCCGGTTTTCCGGGGGGGGGGGAGGGGTTCGAACCGGTAGTGACCCCCCCCGGTTTTCCGCCGGCAGCAGTAGAACCTCCGGTTTTCGAGGGGGGGCGGGGGGGGTTCGAACCGGTAGTGACCCCCGCCCAGTTTTCCAGAGGGGGGGGGGGGGAGGGGTTAGAGGGGGGGGGGTTTGCGGGGGGAAGGGAGGGGGGGCCCAGCAGGGGGGGATTTTCGGAAGGGGGGGGAATTCCGGGTTCCGGAGGAAAGCGGCGGCAATTTTCCATAGTAAAGCGGCGGTGGACCACGCTCTCTCTAATAACGTAACATGCTCTGTCCTCAGCCCATCGTGTTCAAAGAAGACCAAGAAGGATCCAGGGGTGGTCCCTCTCAAACTGGGAATATCGCTCCAAACGTCCTGAAGCATGTCTGGACTTGTCCACATGAGCAACAGCAGCAGCTGTCGTTTCATACTGATCTGAGTTTCATGATGCCACCTCGTCGTGCCCTTTTTGGTCAAGACCATGCAGGGCAGTTCCTTTTTCATAACGAGAGTCGCCTGATTGGCGAGCATATGGGGCTTTCGTTTTCGATGGACGTTTACCCCGTAGTGAAAGGAATGCGTGTAGTGACGTTGGAGGAGGGGACGTGGGGCGGGAGGGTGTATTGCAGCATCGTTAATTCATCTTGGTTTACTCGTGTCTCCCTCCTCCCCGTCCCCCTCCCCCTCGCCAACACCTCCAAGTTCACATCAGTGTCGTGATGCGCTCTGGCGCCCACGCCATGCTCTCTCATGGGCCATCCTGCGGACCTTTGCGGGGCTCTTCCTCGTCCTTGCCTCCCCCCCTCCCCTTCGCTCCGCTGCTGCATCCTTGTTCTGGGCTTTCAGCTGCACCAGTTGAGAAGGTCACCGAAAGCGTCCAAACTCTTCGAGGAGCAGCATCATGCTTTATGCGATCCGAGGTGGCCAGGTGGGAAAAAGGTGGGTTCGGATAACTGCTGCTTGCAGGTTTTTGCAGGTCCGCCGCCTGTCACTTTACAAGATGCCTGGCCGCTGCAAGCGCATCGAGGCGCCCGACAAAGCAGGCTACGTGTGGCCCTCTTTTTTCGTCCGCCTTCTGCGACCTGACTCCTCGCAGAGTCGGAGGGGGAATGGAAGGGGGGGGGGATGGGGAGGAGGAGGGGGAGGAGGACGGGGAGGCGGAGGAAGATGGGGAGGGGCAGGGGTCACGCTAGGTGCGCTCGCGCCATATCTGCCATCCTACTCTCCGCACCCATCCCTTTCCAATGCGCTGTTGTTCTTTGTCCGCCGACGCGTGTCGTAGCGGACCTGGAATTCCAAAGAGGGCCCCGTCGTGTTCTGCGCAATCCGAAAAAAGTGGCGTACATTGGACAAGGAGGAGGAGGAGGAGGAGGAGGAGGAGAAGCAGGAGGAGGAGGAGGAGGCGGATGAACATGAGCATGAGCAAGATGAAGGAGGAGGACGAGGACCAACAGCAGCGGCAGGAGTCGGAGCGGAAGGAGCGGGAGGAGCCAAGGGGGGGCGACAACAGTGAAACGTGGCCCGCGCTGGGGCAGGAACGCCACTCTGAACGACGGGACCAAAGCGCCGATCCGAAACCAAGGTCTACGCTGCGGCTGAATCACCGTCTTGAAACACCGAAAAGCGTCGGATGGTAAAACACATACGAAACATAGTTGCTGAAGTCTTGGTGTGGGGGAAAACATTGCTCGGATAGGGCCGAACATCTTCCGGGCACAGTCAGGGGAGAGAGGAGAGTAGCGTCCATCATGTGCACTTGTAGTAGGCAGCCGATTGGCCAGAAGAGGAGGAGGGGGGGCAGGCAAGCTAGGTGCGCTCGCGCCATATCTGACATCCTACCCCTCCCTCGCATCCCTTACCATGGCGTAGATCCCCTCTCTACTCGCTCAGTCGGATGTCGAGCAGGGCAATGATCCCGAAAGGGTACGCGATGCATTGTAGAGCACGGCATGGCATGGCGTAGAAGAGCACCACAAAGTGTAGTATCAACCTAGCATTGCATTGCATGCCGTGGCATGACACGGGAAATGACGCCAGCGCTGCAGCGGGAGCACGAGTCGAAACGAGCGGAAGCGCGGAAATCAGGCCAGCGCTGCAGCGGGAGCACAATTCGGAACGAGCGGAAGCACGGAAATGAGGCCAGCGCTGCAGCGGGAGCACGGTTCGGAACGAGCGGGGCCCGAAAATGAGGCCGGCGCCTCAGCGAAAGCAGCATTTCGAAAACAAATGCAGGCGAAAACCCAGCTCCGGGGAAACCTGTGTGTAGAAAAACAGTACGCGGGGGGGGGTCGGCCACTTTCAAACCGTCATCAGGGGAAGAGTGAGAGTAGTATTCAGATTGAGTAATTGTGGAAGGAGGAAGAGGAAGAGGGTGAGGATGAGGAGGAGGTGGAGGAGGAGGCGAAGGTGGAGGAGCAGGAGGAGGAGGAGGAGGCGGATGAAACGTCTTACGCCATGTGCGCCTGCGGCTTGCCTGAATGAGCAGGAGGAGAAGGAAAGAAGGAAAGCGGATGGATGAGGAGGGAGGAGGACGAAGACAACGGAACATGTGGCGTCGGAGGAGGAGGAGGAGGAGGGGGAGGAGGTGGAGGAGGATGTGGAGGAGGAGGTGGAGGAGGAGGAGGTGGAGGAGACGTCTTACGCCATGTGCGCCTGCGGCTTGCCTGAGTGAGCAGGAGGAGAAGGAAGGAAGGTGGATGGAGGAGGAGGGACAACGGACAAAGTGGCGTAGGAGGAGGAGAAGGAAAAGAAGGAGGACGAGGAGGAGGGGAAGGAGGAGGAGGATGGGAGATGAGGAGATGGAGGAGGAGGAGGAGGAGGAGGAGGAGGAGGATAAGGGCAAGCCCAATACGCATCAACGATGATGCAATGAACCCTTCCTCCAAATTCCCTCTTCATAGCAAGACCTTGTTTCATTGCGGCAAGTCCTCTATCGGAAGCCAACCGCTTGAGAATCTCCAACCGTGCCAAAACGCAATTGTTTGGGCTTCAACACCACTAACCACTGTGATGGGTGCGTCCTGACAATCCTGAATCGTGCCAGAACGCCAGCCTTGAGATTTTAACACCGCGAATCAACGTGACTGTTGCGTTCTGACAATCCTTCTTATTCGTGCCAGAACACCATTCCTGGGACATACGGCAATGTTTTGAACACATGTGGCAATATGTGGTAATATGTTGGAACGAATGTGCGCGGCGCTGAATCGATGGCCACATGTTGAAAAGGAGCCGTTCCTACCCGTGGGTATGCTGCAGACTTCAAAAACTACGAGGGCCACACGTTGAAAACCACTTGCCCTCCATCCGTGAAGCTGCTGTAGCAGTTTACGACGAACGTGCGCGGCTCGACGGCGAGAGCCACCTTTTGGAAACCGACCGCCATCGTTCTTTCGAACAGTTGGAAGTTGTTGTCAGACCGAATGCGCGTGGCGCTACGGCGGGAACCACATTTCGAAAGCGACCCGTCTTTCATCCGTGAATTTGGATCATAAATGTGGAGAGTCTCTGGCGAAACGCCCGGCCCGCCCTACCGGCAAGTAAGTCTGGGAGTGCGACAGGGATGAGTTGATTATATAATGAAAACAGAAGAGCAGGAGGAGGAGCAGCAGCAGGAGGAGGAGGAGGAGGAGGAGGAGGAGGAGAAGGAGGAGGAGAGGGGGGGCAGGAGGAGGAGGAGGATCAGGAGCAGAATGGGGAGGAGGAGGAGAAGAAGATAATGAGGAGGGGGAGGAAGAATATTGGGATGATGACGATGATGACGATGATGACGATGATGATGATGGTGATGATGAGGAGGAGGAGGAGGAGGAGGAGGAGGAGGAGGAGGAGGCAGCAGGAAGCAGGAAGCAGGAAGGACGAGGAGGAGGGGGAGGAGAGGGAGCAGAAGGAGAAGGAGGAGCGGGGAGCGTGGAGCAAGGACGAGGACGGAGGAGGTAGGAGCCCTCGCAGGTCCGCCCGCCCGCCGAGCCTCCGGCGGCCGACGCCGACGAGCCACAGGCGCGCCTGGCCGCCGCCGCAGCGTGCGCCTCGCTCCTCGCCTGGGCACGGCCTGGCCAGCGTGTTGCCGATGTCGCATGCCGTTTTCGTGCCGGTACCACTTTGCAGCTGGCTGGCTGGCTGGCCGAGGACAGAGCGAGGGAAGACGGCACCAAAACGGAAGCGCTGCTTGTATCGAGCCCTGCTTCTCGCCCTTGTCCTCCGCTGCTGCCACCGCCGTCGCCGCCGCCGTCGCCGCGGCGGCCGTCGCGGTTGCTGTCGCCGCCGTCGCCGTTGTCGCCGTCGCTGGCACCGCTGCCGACAGCTTGGGTCGTTCCTGGCCCTTCTTGGATTCCCAGAAGCCTCCAGCGAAGGAGGAGGCGCATCTCTGACATACATTCCGACACGTATTTCGATATGATCCGTAAGGGCTTCGCCCCCTGCCGCCGGCCCCCTCTCTCGGAGAATGGGCCATGGAAGAGCTAAGTCATGAGGCCTTGGCGCTGTCGTGAAGCAGTATCGAAACTTCATGCGAAGCCGATTCGCAATCAGCAAAACCAACTGATCACAAGAGGGGTTACCACACCTGGCGATTGGTAAGACGTGTATGGTTTACGGGCTTGGTTACCACACCTTGCGATTAAAGGGCCGAGGGAGTTCTCGCAGTTTGGGTTACCACGCCTTGCGATGGATGTGCGTGAAGGGTGGCACCGAATTTCAGAAATGTGGCAAATCCCCTGTGTTTTTGGACCCTGACCCCGCGGATCTGCGTGAGGGGTGGCACCGAATTTCAGAAATGTGGCAAATCCCCTGTGTTTTTGGACCCTGACCCCGCGGATCTGCGTGAGGGGTGGCACCGAATTTCAGAAATGTGGCAAATCCCCTGTGTTTTTGGACCCTGACCCCGCGGATCTGCGTGAGGGGTGGCACCGAATTTCAGAAATGTGGCAAATCCCTTGTGTTTTTGGACCCTGACCCCGCGGATCTGCGTGAGGGGTGGCACCGAATTTCAGAAATGTGGCACATCCCCTGTGTTTTTGGACCCTGACCCCGCGGATCTGCGTGAGGGGTGTCGATTTCGAGCCCCCCCAGCAATTCAGACAACGCGCCCAGGGGACGCTAAAAAGCCACTCTGGGCCTCCCCCCCCCTCGCGCGGTCAATCAACTAGTTACAGTAACCAGCAATAAGTCAACTAGTTACAGTAACCAGCAAAAGGCAGAACTGTAACACTGGAAACTACAACCTACGACTGGTACAGGAAACTGCGAATCAAGGGCCTACAGCCTGGTGGCCCCACAAGGGGGCCGGCGGATTTCACGTGGTCGGTTGACTTCCGAGTTATGCCGTGCAGCCAGTTCGGCAACACGACAGGTGTGCGCGCTTGCGTGACATCTATCGGCGTGCGTCCCCGAAATAGGGTCAGGGGCGCATCGTTGTCCTGGCCGCTCTCCAAGGGGGGGCAGGGTCCTCGCTCCTCGTTTTAGGCTACTCTGAGTATGTTTTCGTTCACGTTCTTTCCTCCTTCCTCTGCCTCCTCATGCTTATCTGCCTTCTCCGCGTCCTCCGACTCCTCGTCCTCTTTGTCGTTAGTCTTGTCCTCGCCGCCTCGTCTCCGTCGTCGTATTCGCCGCCCTTTCCTCCCTCCTGCTCGCTGCCTCCTGCCATCCTTCTTGCTTCGCTCTCCCCGTCGTCCTCGTTCTCCCCCTCCCCCTTCCCTGCAGGGAATTCCCAGACACCTGAGGACATTTCGAACACCTCTCGAGACCTTCAGACGCCGCCGCAGA